CTCACTAAACACTATGTTGAAAATCAAGTATACAACTTGTAGGTGGGGACAGGAGGGAAAAATTGGGAGAGAGTGAGGGAAGGGGTGACATTGCCCCTTTACTCTTTACAGGTAAAGAATACAGTTACCTGTAACCCTTCTGTACATCACCTTTATAATAACAATACAGGGGCTGGGAAGGTGGCTCAGTGGTAGAGCACTTGCCTTGCATGCTCGAGGCCCTGGGTTCGATTCCTTAGCACCACATAAGAAAAAAGCCGGAAGTGGCGCTGTGGCTCAAGTGGTAGAGTGCTAGCCTTGAGCTGAAGAGCTGAGGGACAGCGCCCAGGCCCAGAGTTCAGGCCCCACGACCGGACCCAAAAAAAAAAAATAATAATAATACAAAATTAAATATCTTATATGTAAAATTAGCACAAAGACTTAGCCTCAAGACTATGTAAGCAATAATAGTTTATTGATATATTACTAATAGGTTATTAAGAATTTAGTGGATTAAGGATATTTGTTTGTAAATTATCTCTTGTTCTGAATATACATAGTCTATGGGATTAAATTTTACATTGTTTTGCCATAAAAAAATTAAGTGGAATGTGCTGGGAATGTGGCTTAGTGGTAATTGCCTAGCCTGAATGAAGCCCTAGGTTTGATTCCTCAGTACCACATAAACAGAAAAAGCCAGAAGTGGCAATGTGGCTCAAGTGCCTTGAGCAAAAGAAGCTCAGGGACAGTGCCCAGGCCCTGAGTTCAAGCCTCAGGACTAAATAAATTAAGAGGTGGTATCTAGTTTTGTTTCCTAAATTTCTACATCCTTGCCTTTAACATTAGTGATGAAGTGGTCATCAGAAGCAGAAGGATTAGAGAGGGAAACACAGTGCAGACTCTTAGGCTTTCTAAAAGATATTTTTCAAGTGGGCAGAATTCACAGCTGTCTGGAAGTTTGTGTTACATTTGATAGGTGCCCATAAGCCCTTCAACTACAAATGTTTAAAATATAATCATTCATTTGAATTGGATTTTGATTCCTAGTGAATGAAAATACTGTAAGGATAGAGTCCATCAGATTGGTCAGTTAACTTGCATTTTTTGTTTGTTTTTTTTTGTCTAGTATCAGGCCTTGTACTCAAGGCCTTGCACTTTCATTTGGCTTTCTCCTTCAAGGCTGGAGCTCTACCACTTGAGCCAAAGCTTCACCTCCTGCTTCTTGTGGCCAATTAGGTATAAGACACTCAGACTTTTCTGCCTAGGCTGGATTTAAACTGTGGTTCTCAGATATCAGCTTCTTAAGTAGCTAGGATTATAGGTGTGAGCCACCAGTGCCTGGCTTTACTTGCATTTTAATCGAAATGCATTTATCTGCAAACGTGTTTTAGGAAGAAGAAAAGAGGAGAAGATGCTGAGAAGGAAAGAAAGGTCAATAAAGCCTAGGGATGGGGCAAGAAAAGGGGTCAGAGCTTAGGAAATACAAGGAAGGGCCTAAAGAACACTTTTTACCTATTTCAAAGTGTTACCTAGTAAATTATGTCACATGCTAAGGACCACCTGTGCTTGTGCACTTTCTGTTCAATACTGAAGAGTTTGCTCACTTGGTGACACTCAAAGTCCAGAGGACCACAATGACAATAGGATTCCCACAGAGAAATGAATAAGGTAACTCAAATGAACAAGGGCCATTCTAAGTGAAAGAAGCATGGAGAGAGGTGAGTTTTGCCTATTCACAAGGTTGTGACTGAGCCAGTGGCCAGTGGCTAATGGCTTTAATCCTAGCACCTCAGGTGAGATCCGATGATGAGGGTTTCAAGCTAGCTCAGGCAAGAAAAGTTTGTCAGCTTCTAATCCCCAATTCAATTAACCACCAAAAAGCCAATGTGAAGATGGAGATGTGACTCAAGTGGTACAGTGCCAGTCTTGAATAAAAAAGCTAGCAGAAAAGCTCAAAAGCTATGTACATATGACCATATAAGATTATGCTAAGCGAAATGAACCCCAAGATATGGACACAAGAGGTTTTTCTTTGTTGTTGTTGTTTTTAATGCACTATGTGATTTTTTTTTTTGTTTCTTTTGTATACTCTTCCCTCTATGGTATATCCCCTGCTATCATTGCATTTGATTTTGGTAACTTGCATCTTGTATAAACATTTATCTAATTTAGGGAGGGGAAAGAGAATAAAAAAAATGTGGAAACAAGGACACAGGATGACCCATTATAACAATGATACTCAAATGAACTTCACAACTTCGAGGTTGGGGAGGAGTTAGGGAGGTGGGAGAGGGAAGGGATAGTAGGAGAAAAACAAAGAAGGGAGTAACAATGCTCAACAAGAAATGTACTCATGGGCTGGGAAGGTGGCTCAGTGGTAGAGCGCTTGCCTTGCATGCATGAGGCCCTGGGTTTGATTCCTCAGCACCACATAAGCAAAAAGAAAAATGCCGGAGGTGGCGCTGTGGCTCAAGTGGTAGAGTGCTACCCTTGAGCTGAAGAGCTGAGGGACAGCGCCCAGGCCCAGAGTTCAGGCCCCACGACCGGACCCAAAAAAACCCCAAAAAACCAAAAAACAAACAAAAAAAGAAATGTACTCATTACCTTACTCATGTAACTGTAACCCCTCTGTACAACATCTTTACAATAAAATAAAATTTATAAAAAGAAAAAGCTAAAGAACAGTACCCAATTCCTGAGTTCAAGCCCCAGTACCGGTTCACACACATATGCATGTGTGTGAGTGTGCACGTGTGTGAGTGTGTGCATGTACACACACGTAATAAAACAAAGAAAATAGGCTATGAATGTTACCCTCCTTTCCCCTAAACCTAAGCAGGCAATTAGAACTTGGTGCTTCTAAATGATGAACTTTATGGGTGTAGGTCAATTGATATGTCCTTGAATGAACTCCAAATGGTCAGCACAGCAGTTGTAGTCTCTCAGAAGGTTCCACTGCAGCTGGTGACCCTTCATGACAGTTCTGGCTCACTCGCCTGTGAGGATTTTCCTGTCATACACACTAAGAAATGCCACTGGTAAGAACCAGTCATCTTCTAAGCTGGCCTTTACTTGCCAAGGAACTGTTTTGTTGTTGTTGTTGGTTGTGTGGCCTGAACTCTGGGCTTGGGCACTGACTCTGAGCTCTATAGCTCAAAGCTAGTGCTCTACCACTTGAGCCACAGCACCACTTCCAGGTTTTTCTGCTTATGTGGTGCTGAGAAATCAAACCCAGAGCCTCAGGCATGCAAGGCAAGCACTCTACCACTGAGCCACCTTCCCAGCCCCAGAATTCTTATTTCTTACTAATTCCAAATACTAGTTTCTATACTACCTAAAAAAAATAGAATGGTAGGGTAATTGAGTTGAAACAAACTTCCAAAATCATCTAGTTAAAACCTCTAACTTTATAGATGAGGAAACTAATGATCAAAATACAGGATTTGAAATTTCCAGAATTACAAGACACTCCTTGTCTTGTTTTTCCTCTGCTTCAAGGTTACTAGGCCCATCACTGAACATGAGGTAACTAAACGACTTAGGTTGCAAGCACCAAAAGAGGAAAGGAGTCAGTGATCTCTTCAAAGTCTGCTCTACTCCCTCCAGAGTTTTACAAAGGAGAAATACTGAATTCATTGAGCATCTCAATCCCTCCATGGAAAATCCACATCCTCTCCAGTTTAAGGAAAGTGCTTTCTCATCAGTCAGATTCCTTTAGATCCCCTTTCTCTTTTTTTCAAGGGACAGAGGAGCTGTAGAACAATACATGCAATATGAGTGTGTGTTCCATTTTCAGAAAATACCTTAAGATTCACATGCAGGTAGCTCACATGTGTAATCCTAGCTACTCAGGAGGCTGATTAGCTGATCTGAGGATCAAGGGTCAAAACCAGCCTGGGCACTAAAATGTGTGAGATTCTCATCTCCAATTAAACACCAATAAGCCAGAAGTGGAGCTATGGCTCAAGTGGTTGAATGCTAGCCTTGAGTGAATGAAGTTGCCAAGGCCCCGAGTTCAAGCCCCAGTACTAACACAAGAAAAGAAAGAAAGGAAAAAAATAAAGACCCTAAGAGATGACCCCAATGATTTCTACATCTAAGCCCAGGCTAGGATTAGGCACTTACTCAGGCACAAAATTTAGGAGTGTGCCCAAACCTCAATAATCAAGAGAAATAATGCAACACTTTAAAAAAAATTAATGCAATCCTTTGTGTATAAAGTTTTTTTTCTTTGTGCTAGTACTGGAGCTAGAAATCAAGGCCTCACATTCTTGCTTTGCTTTTTTTGCTCAAAGCTGGTACTCACTTCAGCCACATCTCCACTTCTAGCTCTTTGCTGGCTAGTTGGAGACAAGTATCTCACAGGATCTTTCTGCCCAGGCTAGTTTTGAAACAAGATCCTCATATCTCAGCCTCCTGAGTAGCTTGGATTTCAGGTCTGAACCATCAGCACCCATGAAGTTAGGATTTTAAATAAAAAGATCCATCTCACACTATGCTAGTACAACTTGCCCAACTCACTCCTCTGTCAAATTGGGTCTTCAAAATGTAGGTGTTTATGTTATCAAAGATTTTTACATTTTTTCTTTTTTTAATTATGAAAATACTGTACAGAGGGGTTACAATTACATGGGCAAGATAATGAGTACATTTCTTATCAAGCCTCCTCTGTTTCCCCTTCCCATCCCTTCCAATCCTCCCCCTTCCATCCCCCCCCACTCAATCCTTGCATTCATTTTTAATAGCGTAGATCATTGACTTAATTAGTGTTTATCTAGATTACTAGAAGGGGTTAATGATCTCCCTAAAGTTTTTCCCCTGAAGTGTCTTTCTCCCTCATTTCATCTGAATTCCACAGCTTTCCTCTCAAGGCTCAAAGACAAGGATAAAAAAATAAAAGCACATACAGAGTTTATGGTTTAATTCAGTAAAGTTTTTTTTTTCTTTTTTTATTGAAACAAAGTGATTGCACTTCAGCAATACTGGAAGGATAAATTGACCATTCATTTCACTCAAAGCATTACCGCTGGTCCATGGTTCAGCTTTGTCCCAGAGCAGCTGAGCAGAGATGAGAAGGTCTCAGACTCAGGCACTGATCTCAAATTATTCAATATATCCTTGGAAATTGACTGGCCCAAAGCCATCACATGTGATGAGCACAAACCCTGTTGTGAGGGAAATATGGTACCTACAGGCAGGGTATCTGGTGCCATCAATAAGCTGACAGACTGTCATTTTGAGCCTTGTCTGGCTCTGGAAGCATAATACAGTAGAATGGTTTTGGCAAGGCACTTTCTTGGGAGAAGTACAAATGCTATTGATCTTTTGAGGCCTCTCATGGATGAAGACATGCTCCTTTTTGCATGCGTGGTCAGGTTCTCTTATTCCTCTCTGGAGGATCATATAATTGCAGTACCTTAGAGGAACACCATTCTGAGGGTAGTCTACATTCAAGTGTTCTAACGATGTCATCACAACATTATCATTCAGCTCGTTTTCCCAGAACAGAAGTAGCAAGAAAATGATCACCATTAGCACCATCACAGGTAAAATCCCCTTCACATCTCTGCCTTTAACTCCTAGAAAGTAAGAGAAACAGAAAGGCACAGAGAATAGTCAGATGTTTTGCCTCCAAGCCCTGACTGCTCCTTTGTCTTTTCAGGCTGCTTCATTTCCTCTTCACTGCTAATTAAAATCATGTCTGCCTCACAAGATCTAGCTGGAGGTACAGCTCTCTAAGAAAATCTTTCCAGACTTATTTCAGTGCTTAGAGTTTGGTGTTTCTCTCCTGGATTCCATTGTGTTTGTTCTGTCGCTAGCACTTTGCTAGTGAGCAGATCTGTTTCTCCCAAAGCTTTCAAAATGCTTCATGTAGAATTGGATACATAGACATTAGTTAATCTATATTGCAGAATAACATCTGTTCCTGTGATTTTTTTCAACCCTAATCCCACCCAGTTCCGCAGTTAGTATAATATACTCGTCTGTTTTTCCCTGATCTTCCCCAATCTCTTCTAGAGTTATCCCTGCTCCAGTCTGTGCAAGCTCCACTCACCTGCCGGATTTGCAGTTGCTCTCACAGGTAGCATGACCTTGTGATCATGGAGCTGTGAAAAATCCCCTGTGACTGTCTGCTTCCTGACAGCAACTGATAGGAAGCTGATTGAATGCGGGAAGGACAGAAAGAGCAGAAAGGGAGGGACCTGTGGGTAATGGGCTTAGATGCCACTGAGAAGGAAGAAAGTTGCTTCAGAGGGAAAAGTGAAGAAGGTAGGTTTGAACTGAGTTCTCATAAAACCAGCACGGACTCTTCAAAACATATGATCAAGTGCTGATGTGCACCAGCCACAGTATTTTTCATTTTCTAAATTTTTAACCAGTCTTTACTATAGAACTGTGAAGGAACTATTATTTTCATTTCATTCACAAAGAAGCAAGTTGCAGAAAAGTTAAGGTAGAGAAGTGAAATTATAAGGTAACAAGAGCCTCACCAAGTCTCAGTGGGGAACCCCGTGAGTTCCAGGTTTAACAAATTTCATTCACATGTAGTGTCTAGACCAAGATAAAACATTCCCTCTGGCATTGGTATTCATCACCATAATGGGCTTCTGAAAATCATGGCAACATGATTAGCTCATCTAAATATTAAAAACACCTGGGGATTTTGTTCATTTGTTTTTTTAAATCTTTTAGTTGTTCCTCCTTTAAGTCAGGCACCAATGGTTCAAGACTACAATCCTAGCTACTCAGGAGGCTGAGATCTGAAAATCATGGTGCACAGGCAGGAAAGTATGTGAGACTCTTATATCCAATTAACCACCAAAAGCTACCAGTGGAGCTGTGGCTCAAATGATAGAGGACTAGCTTGAGCTAAAAGGCTAAGGGACAGTGCCAAGGCTGAGTTAAAGCCCCAGTATCAGCACACACACACACACACACACACACACACACACAATTCTGCTTTACTTGGGTATGGTCTGTCTGAGTTAGGGGATATTAAAAGATCCTCAAGTGAGTCTCTACTTGGGAAGCAACATGGGAAATTAGCACATAAGGGCTTAGTAAAATTGCTCAAGTCAATGTACACATTTTTCTCAATCTAGCTTCAGAAAAGTAAAAGGAGTAACCCATTTATCCTGGCTTCTTATTCCTGCTTCTCCTTGGTACTGTGTCTGCCTGTGCCCTGCCTCACCTTCCTGCCAATGGCTGGGTTTGACTGGCTTCATTCTTTATTCTCTAATTATGTTGACCACTAGGATACATGGTTGTAACAAACTTTCTAAAAACCCTTCCTTGCAGAAGAGAAAAAAGTCTTAACCTCACTTTGTGTATCCATTGCTCCTGCCATCCATAAACACAGGCCCTCTTGATTCACTGTCCCTTTTGCTAGCTACACTGATATGGGATTTGCTTTTCTCCCTCATCTTCCTCAGCAATGTTATCTCCTCCTCCCCCAAGTCCTGGGATCCCGTTGCTCATCTTCAGTGGTGACTACAAAGTTTCCAACAAGGAGGGCCCAGAGAGACAAGGATTGTTCCAGGAGGGCTGGGCAGGAGAATGTGTAGTTGTTTGAAGTTTGGGTTTTTGTTTTGTTTTGTTTTTAGGGGTTTGAACTCAGAGCCTGGGTGCTGCACCTTAGCTTTGTCACTTAAAGCTAGCACTCTACCACTTGAGCCACAGCTCCACTTCTGGCTCTTTTGGAGAGAGGAGTCTCATGGACTTTCCTACCTAGGCTAGCTTCAAACCATAATTCTCAGATATCAATCTCCTCAGTAGCCATGATTACAGGTGTGAGCTGACTCCATTCTGCTTTTACACACTACAGTACTAAGACTAGTTTAAATGTGCCCATGGTCTATTTTCAAGGTGACAGTTGTTGGCTGCCAGTTTGATTTTCTTGAATCCTGATGGCATAGGGAAGGGGCTCTACCTCCCAGACTAGAGTGAGAATGAGCAATAGGAAACAGGGAGCCAGCTTGTTTCTGGGTACCAGAAACCCAAAGTGAGAAGTCTGACTTAGCAGTGTGGGACAAGTATTTCTTTGAAATAGCTAAGGAATTAGAAAATTGATCAAAGGAAGAAGTCCTTTAATGCAAAGCAGTGAATACTGGGGGGAGACATGAAGTGCCTTGTCCTTGTGCTGGGAGTTCATTGACCACCACTGGCAACCTCAGAGCTGCTGTTGACCCCAGTTCATCCCTGAAGGATTCATGTGAAGATGATGCAAGTTCCTGGGAACTTTCCAACTTTTCCCCCACTGCCTTTCTGGTCAGCTTGTTCAGGTGAGATGGACAGGCTGGGACCTGCATGTGACCAAGAACAGGCTGTCCCTGGCCTGGGACAAGGTGTGTTCTGAGTCAGTGGCTCTCATCCTGGTCTTGCAGTTACAGCCCTGGGCTATGCACATGAGGTCCTGTTCCTTCTTTGGGGGAGTGTGTGGGGAACCAAGCCATTTCTTGTTTTGCAACTTTTTTTTGTGTTCCTGAAGAGACTGCCTACCATCAGGCATTAGACCAACAAAGACCATATTGAGGAGATTCACCAGAAGCATTCCTCTGTAATGGCTGTGAGGCAGGACCACCACCCTCCAGTCTTTCCCTTCCAAGACTGTTTTGATCATAGCATATCTGGTTTCTCATGCTGAGCCTTTACCAGTCCCCTCAGAATCTGGAGGAGCAGAACTGTTAACCTAGCCTTCCTTTCAGCAACCTGTGCCCCCCCCCAGCCCCCACCCCAGGTCATTTCTACCTTTCTTATCACTGCTAGACTTTGCTCTACTCTGGACAAGTTCCATTGGCCCTAAAAATCAGATGAAATTCCTTAGAAAAAATAGACGAGGGCTGGGAAGGTGGCTCAGTAGTAGAGTACTCCTCTTGCATGCATGAGGCCCTGGGTTCAATTCCTCAGCACCGCGTAAGCAGAGAAAGTCAGAAGTGGTACTGTGGCTCAAGTGGTAGAGCACTAGCCTTGAGCTGAAGTGCTGAGGGACAGTACGCAGGCCCAGAGTTCAGGATGATATTCTCCCAACCCCAAGACATTGCTATAACGCTAAAGAACAGATATGTTTTAAACAGCCAGGCCCTGGTGTCTCATGCCTGTAATCCTTGCTGCTCAGAAGGCTGAGATCTAAGGATTAAGGTTTAAAATCAGCCCAGGAAGGAAAGACTTTATCTTCAATTAAGCCGAAAAAAGCCAGAAGTGACAGTATAGCTCATGTGGGATAGCACCAGCCTTGAGTGAAAAAGTTAAGCAAAAGTATGAGGCCATCAGTTTAAGCCTGAGTAGCAGTACACATGCACATATGCATGCATGCCCACACCCATACCCACACCAATGGATTTTTTTAAATAAGTTTTTTTTTTGTGAAAATACTGTACAGAGGGGTTACAATCACATGAGCAAGGTAATGAGTACATTTTTTTAATTTTTTTATATATTTTTATTTTTTATTGTGAAAATACTGTACAGAAGGGTTACAATTACATGGGCAAGATAGTGAGTACATGTCTTATCAAGCATTGTAGCCTCCTCCTTTGTTTACCCTTCCCATCCCTTTCCAGACTCTCCCCACCCCCCCCACCCGATCCCCCCCCCCCACCAAAGTTGTAAAGTTCGTTTTCGACATGACAACTTGTGCTTCTCGTTGTTGCAACGGGTCCACTTGTATCCTTATTTAAACGACTTGTTTTTTCCCCTTCCCCTCCACAAATTATACCGACATCAAATACAGTGAAAGCAGGGGTTATATTGTGGGGGAGGGACATACAAAGCAACAAAGAAATAATTTTAAAAATGCGTTAGAAACAAATGCATGAAAGAAAAAAAAAACATTTAAATACATATCTTAGGGTTCATTTTCCCACCAATGGATTTTATTATGACATTCTTACACATGTGTCTAATGTTCTTTGATCATATCCACTGCCCCACTACCCTCACATCCCTTCTCCTGCTGATCCTCCTCACAAATAGTTCTCTTTTACTTTTATGCCTGAAAAAAATCTAGATTCCAAATAGAAGAAAGAAAATTTGATATTTGTCTTAATATAATGATCCATTTCCCAACAAATAGTATAATTTCATTCTTTTTCATGGTTCAGTAAAACTCCCTTGTGTATAAATGTCAAAGTCTCTCTATCATTCATTTCTTGATAAGCACCATAGCCTGGCTATTATAAATAGAAAGACTTTCCATTCATTCATTATTGGGCTTCTGATTCCTCACTTATATTGTTAGAGACCCATGGGGAATTTTGTTACTGGCTATTTGATCTGTTCTTCCCTGTCCATGAGATACCATCTACCTTAATAAGCAGTTCATTTTAGTTGCTTGAACACAATTTCCTTGGTAAATAACACAGCTTTCTTCTGTGTAGGTTTTACATCCTACCTTATTCACACAGAGGATCAGCCAGAAGTGGCTGATTGATTGGCTGATGGCATATACAAGTGGTCCAAGACAGTTAATGATAGACCCATGATAGTACTACTTTTGTCCACAAGGGGGCAGAGTCCAGTTTAACTTGGCACCTGCAGCAATCACTTGGTCAAACAGCTGACAGTAGATTCTCACCTCTTATTCCTTGAATTCCTCCCTCTACCACCCTACAAGCCAGCAGTGTCCTCAGTACTGCATAATAATGGATCCTTCCCCAACATCAGTTTTCCCTTCCTCTCTGGTAATAGAATGTTTGTTCCTCTTTGTATTAAATCAGTTCTCTTACATTCTCTTCTAGAATGAACCTGTAGCCTGACCCTCTAAACACCACCTAGTTGAGAGTTTGCTCAATTCCAGAAGAGATAGTTACAGTCCTGTAGTAAGAGCCCTGAGCAGTGAGCACAAGGCAATGACACTAACCCTCTGTAGCCCCTAAGCACCAATTGCGAGCCTTCCTTCCTGCCCAGTAGGGAGTACCTTCTAAAGCTCTTGCAAAGCTTTTATAAAGCCATGATGTGGCTAGAAGGAAAACTGCAGAAAGTATTTTCCAAAGTGACCTAGCTGTCTTTCTCCTGGAAGATGGAATATTTCTCACTCAGCAAAAGTCCTCTGATAATAAGCCCTCAATTCTTCCATAAGCCTATCTCCCCTAGGGTCGCAGGATGGACACTATCATAAAAGACTCAATGATTTT